GGCAAGACTTATTGTCATGCAAATTCCTCCTTTGTGGCTGTTAAGACTTTGCAGTTTTAAACATTTTGTCTGCGGAATTTTAACGTCTCGGGGAGGAAAGGGGAGGAAAGGGGAGGAAAGGGGAGGAGAAGGGAGGGAATGGGAAGAAAGGGGAGAAGGGAGGAAATAGGCCAAGTTTTCGGGATCTTGCTCTCGAGGCCGATGCGGAGGGGGGGGGGACGGGTGGAGGTGTACATGCACCTGCTCCTGTGCACGGCCGAGGAGCATTTGCATCGATACGACTAAATATGTACGATATACACCTGCAGACACAAAATGCATGCAAATCTACATACACGCATAGACATACACACAAAATACATAAACATATACAAATACATACACACACACACACACACACACACATATATATATATATATATATATATATATATATATATATATGTGTGTGTGTGTGTGTGTGTGTGTGTGTGTGTGTGTGTGTGTGTGTGTGTGTGTGTGTGTGCGCGCGCGTATACATACATATATATATACATATACTTATATGTATATATATATACATATATATATATATATATATATATATATATATATATATATATATATATATATATATATATATATATTTACATACAACAAGAGAACAAGCCGCGCAGCCGAACCGCGCAACCTGCGCCGCGAATGATTCCGGGTCATTAGTCGCTTCCGGGGATCCGCGCGTCGGGTCGAGCGCCGCGCGAATTGATAAGGGAAGCCGCAAGGACGCTCGGATGAGTTACGATGCAGAGAGGGAGGCAGGGATTCGGATAAGTTAGATTTGCGCCAAAAGGAAAGACAGGAAGAGAGAGAGACGAAGAAAGAGAGAAAGAGGAGAAAGAGAAAGGGAGGGAGGGAGGGAGGGGAAGGGAGAGAGGGAGGGCGGGCGAAGGAAGGAAGGAAGGAAGGAAGGAAGGAAGGAAGGAAGGAGGGAGGGAGGGAGGGAGGGAGAGAGAGAGAGAGAGAGAGAGAGAGAGAGAGAGAGAGAGAGAGAGAGAGAGAGAGAGAGAGAGAGAGAGAGAGAGAGAGAGACAGACAGACACAGAGAGACAGACAGACACAGAGAGGACAAGACACAAAATCAAACATGAAATGAAAAGCAAAATCCCTTCCTACCTTCCTTCCTTCCCTGCCTCCTCTTCCCCTTCCTTCCTTCCTTCCCTCCCTCTCTCCCCCCCTCCTCCCTATCCACCCACGCCCCCCCCCCCTCATTCATCCCTCAAGCAGACATCAAAATTTCTGTGAACTTTATTTCCGCTTCTTTCTTTACGAGCAACATTTAAACTTTCGCTTCGAGAGAAGAAAAAAAAAAGAAAAGAAAAGAAGAAAACTATATCAGTTTTATCAATATCATTATTATTATTACCATTATTATCATAATTATTACTATCATCATTATCATCTTTATCATCGTTATACTTATTATCATCATCACTGTCATTTATAGCATTAATAGTAGAAGCATTACTATTATTTTCATTATTACGTCATCCTTATCATCATCATCATTATCCTTATTCATGTTATCGCTATTATCCTAATCAACTTTCTTATTCACGTTGTTCGTATCATTTTCATTATCATCATCATTTTGCCATTCCTCCATCTTTACTTTTATGGGATTTTACGCCCGAAACCATTTTTTTCTTCCATTTTTTTCTTTTTCCACTTTTTCTTCTTCTCTTCTTCATCTTTTCTTCCCCTTCTTCTCTTCTTCTTTTCTTCTACTTTCTTCTACTTTACTTCTCCTTCTTTCTTCTTTTTTTCTTCATCTTCCTTTCTTCTTAAAGAGGAATCGGAAAATCACTCGAGATGTTGAAGATGCTGGACTTGTACAAAGGAGAAACCTTAAGATGCTGATTGAAAGCGGAGATGGGGAGGGAGATGAAGATGGGAGGGGGGGGGAGGATGGGGGGGAAGGGGGGATGTGGTAAGTGTGTTGTTAATGAGGGTAATTAGGGGGGGGGGAGAGAAGGAGGAAGGGAGGGAGAGGTGAATGGAGTGGAAGAATGGGAGGAAGGGTAGGGAGAGAGAGAGGAAGAGAGAGCGGAAGAGAAGGGAAAAAAACTCAAGAAAAGAAAAGAAGAGAAAAAAAAAACTAAAACCTCAACACAAAACAACAACAAGTCAAAACAAAACAAAAAAAAAAAAACGATCAGAATAAACACTTCATCGCCACACCTCTTTTGGTTCAACGAGATCAGATCTACCCCCCCCCCCCCCGCGGCCGCCCTCAACGCCCACAACGTTAGCGTGATTGAGCCCCGGTTTAGTCATGCTTTTGCGCGGGTCAGAAGTCGGGTTCGCGAGGGAGGATTCACGGGCGAGGGAGGGCAAGAGCGGGGCTTCCAAGGCTTCCGCTCTCGTGTCGGCCGGTCGGGAGCTCGTGTCTCTCTTTGCTTTTTTTTTGAAGTTTGTTTGTGCCTATTGGGTTCTTTGTCTCTGTTTGTTTGGGGTTCATTCA